TTGAAATATGTTGATGGTGGTAATTTTTCTTGTTTTACATATTTTTCTAAATCCAAAAGCACATATAACTTTATGGATAATTGCTATTTTTAAAAAAAAAAAAACTACTAACTCTATTACATTGTAGTAGCAAAAAGCTAAGCGTCAACACTGCCTCAGAGAATCACTACATGCCATCTGAGCACAAGGTGCTTGGCATAAATTTTCACTTATTTATCTTCTTATATCATTTAAATAACCAACTCAATCCAATACGCAGATATGCACATATGACCATACTACTCAATATTATTGTCATCTACCACTAAGTCACTAACAATACTTATAAATTTAAATGAAGAAAAACAATGAAAAAACACATAAGTTTAAATAATTTCATATATATATTCTCATTTGATAAAAGAAATTAAAAAAAAAAATGCACTAAAGAGTGTGTCCTGTTGTATCAGCCAGAAAGCAAGTTAATGAGCCTATAAACTAAACAGTCTCTTCCTTGTGTAAATCCTCGCCGTTATTCAACAGCTTCTCTTTTGCTGAACCCAATCCATCTTCGGCAGCAACGCCGTCCACTTTTCCCACCTTCTGCGAACCAGTAAACCTTGCCAGCATCACAAACGTCATTCCCCCGACAACGTTGTTTACCAATCTCAGTATAAACACCGCCACCTTGAACGCCGGCGGAGGAAGCCCCGTTGCCAGCAAGAATTCGATTCCGTTCAGTGTTTGGTATCTCAGGCTGCAGCTGGTGCCCATGTGAAGTGCCCACGTCGAAGCGTTCAGGAGCGTCGGGGGCGGCTTGTTTGGCGTTTCGAAGCTCGGGTCCATCTTCTTCCTCATCGTGATCAGCCCGTTGGTAATGGAGGTTCCTAGCAGCCCCGCCGGAAACCCGACGGCGGCGAACACGATCCCCTTGTAAACCAGCGTGCCCAGCCGGTCGATCAGGGTGTAAGGGCCGGGCTGAAACATGTAGCTCGGCGGACAATTGGCAAAAATGGAGGGTAAAGCTTGGGGTAAAGAGGAGGTTGTGGGTGCGAGGAGATACATTAGCAGAAAATTCAGAATTAAACCTACGACTAGAGTTGAAAACACGAAATCGAGCTCGTTGAGCCCGAAATTCGGGCGGGAGGACATGTCGCCGAGGGTGGTGGACCCAACGCCCACCAATTCCTCCATGAGAACCTTGAAGGGGAACTGCGGGTCCGCCGTAACCCGGTCTCTCCAGCCATTGATGAAAGCCCCAATGAATCCAACTCCAACAGGGAGAGTGAACTGAGCCGCCGACAACATCTTCTAGTCCGGCGACCTAATGAAGAATGAAATCGATAGAACAAGAACGAGCAGTAAAAAGCGAGTAAGCCTTTCAATTTTTACTTTTTTATTTTTTTGCCTATTTAAAGAAAACCATTTAAAACGATTTTCTTTTAAGCAAGAAAATCTGTTTTTTAAAAACAGCAAGAAGATCTGTTTTTAAACTGTTTCCTTTTAAATATATGCGACCTAATTTATTTATTTTTTTAAATCTGAACTTTAAATATATGCGAGTTTACTTTATTTATCTGTTTTTGCATTGAAAAAAAATAATAACCGGATTTGATCAATAGATCTTTGGGAGCATTGCACTATTTTCCATTCCTCCATTTGGAAAAATCCAAATAGGAGTTCTCCAAAAATATACATAAAAGAAAAAAATAGAGAGAAGTTAAGAAATTAAAGAATTTATTTTAATAAACAAGTTTTAAGTTTTTCATTTTTCATTTTACCATTCCTCCAATTTTCTGTTTTTTTTTTTTTTTTTTTTCAAAAAATCCACCATTTTTTTTTTATTATGGTAAACAATCCCTGAACTTTGTGATAATACGGAGTGAACTGAGCAGTGGCCAACATCTTCTAGTCCGGCGGCCTAATCAAGAATGAAATCGATTGAACAATCTGAACTTTTAAATATATGCGACCCAATTTAAAACGGTTTCCTTTTAAGCAAGATTTTATCTATGTGAAAATAATTTAAATTTTAAACTATTTGATAATTACTATGTATAAGATTATATCGGTAGAAACATATCTAAAGCCTGTTATAAATAAAAGAAGATTTTATATTCAAATTTCATAAGAGAAGTAAGATTTTTTTTTAGGGGGTACATTGGAGGGGGCCTAGGCCCCGTTAAGCGATCCTACGAGTACGAGCCCCTCTGGCATCAGCCTGAAGGAGGTCAATGATACTGTCAGGTGGTTCCTCTAGGACGGAAGTTCCTCGGTCAGCGTCTTGTCCCAAGTTAACAAGTCTGTCAGCACATTTGTTCCCTTTTGTGAAAACATGAAGAATTTTAACTCTCCTTAAATTGGCCATTAAGTGAAGACACTCTGTCACCATGGATGTGTCTGAATGATCCGGAGCGGTATCCTTGTTCAAAATCTTTACAAGGGCATCGTTGTCGATCTCTATCATAATGTTCTCCCACCCTCTAAGGTTAACCAACTTTAGGCCTTCGCGAAGCCCCATAAGAGAAATAAGATGGTTAAGATATTTATAGATTTTTTCTTATTTTCAAATTCTAACAGGGCGTTTGGTTGGAGGTGGGGAATTACGTGGGAAAGGAATTACAATTCATTGGGAGATGAATTACTGGGAATAAAGTAGGAATTTAAATTCCAGTGTTTGGTTTATAGGAATAGAATTACTAGAAATTTCAATTCCAATGTTTGGTATACATGGGAATTGAAAGGTAATAAGTAGTATAAAGTCAAAAATGTCCATTGTTGTTGGTAGGCATTGATTTTAGGTTAAAAAAGGAATGGGTAATTTTGACCCATCATTGTCTTTTTTTCTTCCTAAAATCCCAGGAATTAAAATCCCAGAGGGGCACATTATAGGTGACCATGACCATAGCCCAGGTGCTTTTGATAAATGGGTAGCATTATGAAAATTGAAGGTTCCACCTAAATCGAAAACCTTCCTATGGAGAACTTTATGTGATATACTCCCCACCACAAACAACTTACTATTAAAGAGGGTAGATGTGAACCCAACATGCTCAATGTGTGGCTTGCATCACGAGGATGTTATGCACTCTCTTGTTCTTTGTGATTATTCTAGACTTGTGTGGAACATTACGGAACTGCATATCACAAATGTTTTGTCTAATTCATTTCCTGTATGGCTCATGGGTGCACTCAATATTTTGACAGAGGAGCAACGTGGTTTCTTGATTGCGGTACTATACCACCTTTGGAGTGCTCGAAACATGGTGGTATGTGAGTGCAAATTGCCACGACCCGGCCAAATATGGCGGCAAGCTGCCGCTGCTATGAACTCATACGCCCAGCTGCATCGACGGATTCCACATTTAAGATATTGTATTCTTTTAAATTATTATTTTTCACTACTGAATATGCCTTTTTTTTTTTTACCACCTAAAAATATACTGGCCCGTTTACTTCAAAAGTTGTTTTCTGTTTTATAATTTTTTTGAGTTTTCATTCTCTATTTTTTGTTTATAAAACTTATTTACTAACACTTATTTTTTCGTATTTTTTAGATTAACGTATAAAAAATTAACACAAATGTAATTTCGAGTAATTTAACACCTTATATTTAATATATTTTTGGATATGTTTGGTTTAAATGGAATAAATAGAATTTTTACTTTTAAGTCTAACTAGTATTTGCACCCGTGCGATGCACGGAATGAATATGTTGTAATATATTAAGAATATATGAATCCCGATATATAATTATTTAAATTAGAACATCAAATATTATATAGTGCACTTAAAGATATGATTTGAATCGTTTATATATTTTGATGTTATCATTGCTTGAATTTGTGCAAATAATTGCCCAAATTAATAGCTAATGTCTAGATGTACGGATGCGGTCCTATAATTTTGAAGATTTTATTTATCATTGTTTAGTATTTTCATACATTAGGTAAATGTACTCGTTCTCTAACAACTCAGTTATAGAAATGAATTGCTATCCATATTCATTTGTATGGAAGATATATTTTTTTTGCCTAGATATATAGCAATTTTTTCATTTAAAAAAAAATAATATCACCGATTATATTTACACATTATTGAAACCTCTTTGTAGACGACATTGGTAGTGACAACACAATCTTGTTCATCTTCGTCTAGAGCTAACATCTTCTCCATCAGGACGGGTTACTTGGGTGAAAATATATAATGGTAGAATATCACTCAATTAGTTATCCTTTTATATTTTCAGTCAATTCTTAATACCAGATTCATTTTCAGCCAATTATTCTTTTTTATTTTCAATCAATTAGAATATCAAATGCAGTGATATTTTTACCTAACTTCTGTTCCATTTTTAATTGATGATGTAGATATTATTATTGAAATATTTTCGTTCAATTTTTAATTTACCTTTACTATTGTTTAAAATATGCATTTACTATTGATAATGTAGAATACTATTATTGGAATATTTTCCACCAATTTTTAATTTTCGTTCCATTTTTAATTAAAATGCAATGATCTTACCATTTTTTTAGTCAATTATAGATCATTTTTTATTTGCAGTCAATTATTAATATTCATTTCCTTTTATATTTTCAGTCAATTAGTAATATTATATTCATTTTCAGTTAATTATTCTTTTTTATTTCCAATCAATCAGTCAATTAGAATATAGATGCAGTGATATTTTTACCTAATTTTCGTTCCATTTTAATTTGATGATGTAAAATATTATTAATGAAATATTTTCGTTCCATTTTTTCTTTACTATTTTTTAAAATATGTCTGTACTATTTGATGATGTAAAATATTATTATTAAAATATTTCCTTTTCATTTTTAATTTTCCTTTACTTCAAACCAAAAAAAAAAAAAAAAGACTTTGGACTTCTCAATACTTGCCCACATTGATTTTTTTTTTTTTGGTAAACCCAAGGTTTCCACCGTTGGACACAGTGACTAATCCCCTCGCTAAATTGTAAGAACCTCTTTTGGGTGGGACAGCTGGCTTAGAGATTTAAGGCTGCTCCATTCCCAAATCCAAGGATCGAACTCTTGACCTTTGGTTAAGGATGGATGATCGTCCCTTACACTTAACCACATCCTTCAGGTTACTTGCCTACATTGATGGGTAAGCAATTATGTTTGTAAGAGGAGAATTGCTCCTCTTTCCAAACATTTTCAGTGTGAGATCAAAATGATCCCACATCATTTACAAAGGGAGCCCGTGACTCCCTTTTGTCTTCTCCTTATTTTTTTTTTTTAAATTTTAGTTTTATTTTGTATATCGTTTTGTTTGGATTATTATTATTATTATTATTATTATTATTATTATTATTATTATTATTATTATTATTATTATTATTAGTATTGACAAATTCGTCATTTTAACAATTTATCTTTACTCAAAACACCAAAAATATTATTTAATAACTAAGTAATTTGCTCCAAACTGCTAAAATCTAAAACAACACATATATTTTGAGTTAATATTTCCTAACCCCCAATAATAAATACCAAATAATAAATAAATAAAACTAAAATAAGAAGACAAAGCTAAGGTTTCTTAAATAAGAACCTTTTGACTTCTTAATACTCGCCACATCGATGGGCAAACAATTATGTTTGTACCTCTTATATAGAAGAGCTCAGGAGCTCATCTTTTCAAATATTTTCAATTTGGGATGAAAATGAACCAACATCATTTACAAAGGGAGCATGTGGCTCCCCTTTGCCTTTTTTTTTTTTTTTTTTTTTTTTTTTTTTACTTAGCAATTTTCTCCAAACTGCTAAAACCTAAAACAACACATACATTTTGGGTTAATCTATCCAAACCCCCACTAATAATAAATAAATAAATAAATAAAAACTAAAATAAGAAGACAATGCTAAAGCTTCTTAAATAAGAACCTTTTGACTTCTCAATACTTACCCACATTGATGTGCAAGTAATTATGTTTGTAAGATGAGTTTTGCTCCTCTTATATAAATAAGCTCTCTCGTTTCAAACATTTTCAATGTGTGATCAAAATGATCCCACATCATTTACAAAATGAGTCTGTGACTCCTCTTTATTTTTTCTTGTTTTTTTTTTTTAATTTTAATTTTATTTTGTATATAGTTTTGTTTGGATTATTATTATTATTATTATTATTATTATTATTATTATTATTATTATTATTATTATTATTATTATTATTATTATTGTTATTGCTATTGCTATTGCTATTGCTATTGCTATTGCTATTGCTATTGCTATTGCTATTGCTATTGCTATTGCTATTGTTATTGTTATTGTTATTGTTGTTGTTGTTGTTGTTATTGTTGTTGTTGTTATTATTGTAATTTGATAATTTGGAGAATTCTCCAAAATTTTAAAAAATTCGCTCGTTTAACATTTTATATTTAATCAAAACATCAAAAATATTATTTAATAACTTAACAAATTGCTTCAATCTGCTAAAAACAACACATATACATTTTGGGTTAATCTTAGCCAAACCCCCTAATAAATAAATAAAAAAATTAAAATAAGAAGCCATTAAAATAAGGTTTCTTAAATAAGAGCCTTTTGAAACGTTGGGCTTCAATAGGTTGAGTAAGTCTATATGAACAGATATTACATGTAACACGGTGAATCGAATAGTTATGCTGTGGAACCGTGTCCACTTTGCAATCAGGTGGACACAGTTCTATGTTCATAATTACTGAACTATATGTTCATAATTATAAAGCTAAATATTCGGAATCTTTGAACTTCATATTCATAATTATTGAACTCTATATTCACAATTACAAAACTCTATATTCATAATTACTAAACTATATGTTCATAATTATAAAGCTATATATTCATAATTTTTAAACTTCATATTCACAATTATTGACTCGTTATATTCATAATTACATAACTATATGTTCATAATTATATTCACAACACTATATTCATAATTTTAGAACTATATATTCATAATTTTTGAATTATATATATATATATATATATATATATATATATATATATATATATATATATATATATATATATAATTATGAGCAATTTTAGAACCGTGTCTACCTTGCTACGTGGACACGATTCCACAACATAATTTGACGTGTCAATAGTACTCAAAAAATAAAATATTTGCCTTTGGACTTCTCAATACTTGTCCACATTGATGGACAAATAATTATATTTGCAAGAAGAGCATTGCTCCTCTTATATAGAGGAGGGAGCTCCTTTTCCAAACATTTTCAATGTGGGATCAAAATGATCCAACATCATTTACAAAGGGGAGCCTGGCTCCTTTTTGTCTTCTTCTTCTTTTTTTTTTTTTTTTTTTTTTTTTTTTTTTTTAAATTTTAATTTTATTTTGTATATCGTTTTATTTGGATGATGATGATGGTGTTTGTATATCGTTTTGTTTGGATATATATATTCATAATTTTTGAATTTCATGTTCACAATTATTAAATCTCTATATTCATAATTACATAACTATATGTTTATAATAATGTTCAC